GTTTCTTTTGTGATGAACATTGCTGGTTCCAAGTTTGAAGAACACTGCTTTAATATTTCTAGAGTTATTCCCGATTGAGTGTTGTGCTGTTTTGGAGGAACCAACTATGACGTCATCACTTTCCTCATTTGCATAATACAAAAACATGAATATCTCTAAAACGAAAAAAGATATTCCAAAAAGAAAAACGCCATTCTTCTTTACTTTGAAAGGCCTTTCAAATAAGCAGGAATTATTTTTAGTTCATTGGCACTTTAACATCTAACATCTCGATTACAAGCTCGAGATTTCTATGAGGTGATAGTTCACGAGGCCGAATTTTGAGGTTCTTAAGTCGCATAACGCTCAATGCCCTTTCCTTGGTGTTCTTGGGAATTGATTTGTCCAGTAACATTTCTAAAACTTCCTTAAAACAGCGAAAACAGAAAAAGGTGCCATTATGTGAACGACCTTCAGCCACTGTACAGTAATGCGTGATAGTGTTCGAGTAGCTCAGCCAATCAGATTGCATCATTTCCATAGGTATACTTCTAGAACTCCACTTCTCAAACTCATTAATAATTCATGAAGTTAAAAGAAAGAAAATCACAACCGTGAAGGAGGCTTGGATACCCATAGATTTTGAGGATTTTACTTCGACGTTTACTCCTTAGTGTTTTTTTTTTTGACATTGAGACGATATATCAGACACTCGAGACAGTTCATCAGGTATGCAAACACCTCTCATTTTGTCACAAATACTCCGCCGCGCGTCGTATTTTCAACTCTCTTTTTGGTGTTTCAGGATATCCCGATGAAACACTGTCTCTCGTGTTTAGTATATTACTTAATATTTCATGAGGTTTTCATGAGTCTTGTTACTGCTAATGATCGGGGAAAAATGATAATGATACTTTGGCAAAAATCGGGAAAATCTCCTTCACAACTGCTGCGGCAATGTAATGTCTTTTAGTTGATAGATATTTACTCGTGAGTAAATTGTAGTTCAACCGGCAAAACTCTTATTTGTTGGAGTGTTTTCTAATTCTAGCCCAAAGCATGGTCTTGTACGATTGCTTTCCAAAGATTATGAGATATGTATTTGAAGTGTATGATGACATCTTCTCAGCAAAATNTTGTTGGAGTGTTTTCTAATTCTAGCCCAAAGCATGGTCTTGTACGATTGCTTTCCAAAGATTATGAGATATGTATTTGAAGTGTATGATGACATCTTCTCAGCAAAATACTTTCACCGATCTGCAAAACTAGAGGGTTAATCCGTCAACTATGTCCTGGGGGAGCGGTGGCCTCACGTTTAGTACGCTCGCCTCCGAATCGAGTGGTCCGGGTTCGAGCCCTCTGGGGACATTAAGTTGTGTTCTTGGGCAAGGCACTTTACTCTCACAGTGCTTCTCTCCACCCAGGTGTATAAATTAATGCTGGGGGTAACCCTGTGATGGACTAGCATCCCATCCAGGGGGGAGTAGAAATAATTCTCATGGTTTCATGCTACTGAAACTGGAGACAAGCGCCGGCCTGATAGGCCACTTGGCTCGTATATAGACTTTCCCTACCCATGTCCTGGTCAATCTTTGAAATCACCAATTGACAAAGGGGCAATATACCAGGGGCCATAATCGGGGACGGAGACCGTAAGCGCGCGCCATTTCAAGTATTAGGGTTGTCCCCATGATATGGGA